AGACAAAAGCCCCCAAACCCCGGGGATCCAGTCCGAGCCCCTGATTACAGGCAAAGGGATTCCCCCTCTTTGATCTTCAGTGTCCTGCAATTGTCTCTCCTGTTACCAGGGGACCTGGCACACGCTTCAGCTCACAAAGATCCGTGACGAATGTTAAACACCCCCAGCGCCACCCTGCAGTCAGGGATGGCTCACACAGCTCACTCCGCTCCATTTCTCTCTTTTCTTTTTTTTTCCTTTCCCCTTTGCGAGGTTGGCCCCATTTTGATAATAAAAATACATTTCCCAGAAGAAATATTTGTTGGCATTTCTCCGAGTGACTGCTTCAGTCCCAGTGATGTCAGCAGGGAACAGAGAGACCTGCTAAAACTGCTGGAAGGAAGGATACACGCACTACGCTGCTCCAGGTGACAACAGAGGAAGCGTGGCCTTGCTTCACATTTAAGGTTTAAAGATTTGGGGTGAGGGCTGTGAAAGATGCTCTCCGTGGACCAGGGTGAGGTGTAGTCTGGGACACCTCCCGTTGCCACTTTAGCACATCCCATATTTTCACAGTCATTAACTTGCTTTTTGCAACCAACAAGAAAAACATCTCCCAAACCATGAAGATCGACAGAGAAACACAAGGAGGCTTCATAACAGCTGTACTTACACAGATTCCCCTTGCATAAATAATTCTGGTCGTTCTTTCAAGAGATTCTGTTTGATCCACTTTAGCAGGTTTCTGATATCCCCTGAAAGGAGAAAGGACAGCAGTTTACAAACTAGCTGACAGCTCCGAGCTGATGCCACAACAAAGTGGTTGTTTATCCACAAAAGAGTAGATGAGGAATGCGAAGGAGGGGTGGGGATGGCTGCCAAGCCTGAAGACATCACCTCATGGGACTGTCCCTCACCAGCATCCCTCGGGGAGCCCAGCCTCAGCGGAGCTCAGAGCTCGGCCCCAAACCCCACGGTTCAGCCAAAGAGGTTTCCCCACAACAGATGCATCCCACAAAGAGCAAACGCGGCTCATCCAGCAGGAGACTGCCGGCGTTAAGATTTCTTTAACGCGTCCCGTAACCCGCGTGTTCCGTTATCACCTAACAAATTGATGTTTAACTGTGCGGTTAATTAGATTTAAGAAGTCCAAACAAGCAAGCCTAAGGGGTAAAGGTAGATGCTACTGGCACCAAAACCAGCACAAACTCCTGGTGACGCCGAGTTCTGGGGCACAAACGCGTACAGAACCACGCGCAGGCGCCGACCACGGCCGTCGTATTTTGGACGTTTGCAACATCCCTCGGCATCACACCTGCTGCTGTGGTGGGTTCCCCACGCCCTGCCCGCCACCCCCTCTACGCTTTGTGCTTATAGCTTCGTTATTAAAGCTCAGCCTTTATCTTTCCATTTCAGTAGGTGACAGGAAGGATTTGTCTTCATGTAAAAGGAGGAGGAGACACTGCTGGCGGGTTTTTATAGTATCAATTTTACTTTGTGAGGCAAAAACAATTTCTTTAGTGATAGCATCAGTTAATTTCCTATTGGAGAGGTGAGAAGCAATGGGGGGGGGCAATAATCCGTTACAGGGTTTAGAGAAGCTGACAAATTGCAATGTGGAGTTCTCCTGCATTTGCCTCTATATTTCACCGTTCCACAAACCACTTCATCATTCTGAATCCACAATCAGTTATTCTCCTGGGGCTCCTTTAAACAGCCCTTTGAAAGCCCCCAAAGAGTTTTGTTTGTTTTCGAGGCGTGAGGAAGCTTTTGGAAGGCACAAATCCACCAGTGAGGGCTCAAGCCCCGCTCGCAGGACGAGAGAGGACGGCGGGATGGGATCCCACGTCTGTCTCACGTGTGGTAACCTCACCGCAGTCACCGGGAACCTTCCCACACGCGCCTCTCTGAGCCAAAAATCAAACTCTGCGTACGACTCCCCACGTGTTTGCTTCACGACCAGCAAATATAAATGCGCGTGTAGCGGCTCGACTCAGTCCTTGCCCTACCCCAGGATTTCATGGGATTGTGGATGCTGCCCAGAGAAGAGCTGGGCTTCTTCCCAACGACACCGTCCCCATCGCTTCTGCCACACCAAGGGTGAATAGCGCGGCCGCAGGCGGGTGCGCATCAACCAAGCGACGGGGACACGTCTGTCCTCAGCAGATGGGGGGCTCTTTTCCCAGGCAAAGGGAGATCCCCTCTGTTCCCCCCCCTCCTCCATTTCCCAGGGCATCGGTGCCTCTGGGTGACAGCCTGAACCCCCGGCACAGCGGCTGCACGGCAGGGCTGCCCGGAGCACCACAGGTATTGCTGCCTCCGAGCACTGGGTCACTCTGATCAGGGCAAAAAGAGCTGGTTTGTGCCTTAAAACTGCCCAGTGAGCTGGATCACCTGCCTGAGGCCAACCTGGTCATGATGATATGAAGTTTAAGAGCACAAAATAGATGATTTTCTGCCACTTTCCTAGCAAGGTGCACCAGGGAGATATATATATATATATATATGCACACTACGCTATCTGGTCAACCGCCAGAACAGGAGTTCACTATATTCTC